AGTGCGTTCAGAGAACACACAGTCGACATGGGTTTATGAAAAAGCCTATGATTTCTGGATACTAAGGGCCTAGTTGAGTATATGTTTCAAAACAGAGAGGTGCGTTGTAGCTGTTTAATCTAATGGCAACAGACCGTGACGATGAGGCACGCTTTATGCACTGATCTGTGATGGAATGGGAACAAGATAAAGTAAGTAAGTTAAGTTTAAGGAATAAGGTGAGATCAAGGGGATAATATTAGTTTGATCTCCACCAATTAGTCCAACGGCCAATTGGGCCCTTGGATCAGCGCCCTGATCGGGGCGCCCAACCGCTCCATGGTGAGCCCCCGTCGTACAACACCATAAAGGGAGGTGGGGCCGGGGCACAATCTACGAGGTTGACCTGAGCCGCCGTAACCCGCCTACAAAGAAACTCTAACCTGATCTAAAGGAAGCGATGCTGCCAGCGACGCGAAGCGCCACCACCGCCTCTGCACTCCTATGCCGGACAACGCCACCGACATAGACGGCTCATCCTTTCTCCAAAGCTGACGGTTAGCCACTCCTATGTCTCCCTCTTTCACTGTCTTCCTCTCTGTATTAAGTTATAGATCGAATTGAACTAAACAAGTATCGAATTCACCCTCTAATCTATACCTAGATGATGGTAACAAACCATCAGGCCAATACAAGTGGCCAGCCGCTAGGACAGCATCGCATGCAAGCTACTCCGCCGTACGTAGCTGGCCTGGCCATAGCAGCAGCAGTGGATCGCGGAGTAAGCCGATCTGGGTGAATCTCTCTGGAAGCACCAACTGCGCAATCTTTCCCTCTTGTGGCCGGTCCTGAGGTGGACACGAGAAAGATATGGTTGTGACACACGAGAGAGGGAGAAGCTAGGGCCGGTGTTGCTGATGTGCCATACGTACGGCTCCGAAAGATGTGAGCTACTCATTCCTGCTACCACCCCACCACTGGATGCAGCAGCAGAGACGTAGGATGTGCTCATCGGCCTAGGTAAGTTGTGTGACATGATATGGACAAGGACGTGGGAGGTGGTGTGTCCCGCTGAAATGGTATGCCTGTGTTGAAATCCCGGCAAGATCTTAACCGATGTATACCCGCGTGTTGCTCTTTGCACATGCATGAGAGAAAAAGCTATACTACTTTACTGTGAGCACCAGCAGCTGGATGGATGGACGAGCCGATCACCAATACTAAGTGTATGTTCGGACAGCTGATATTAAAGTCGGCTGAAACTGATTTGTTGTGAGAGAAAAATACTGTAGATTCTAACTGATAAGTCGACTGATAAGTTCACGCAAACATGCCTAATTTGTCTCAACTTAGCATGCAGATTCTCCTTGGCTGGTTAAAAATACGCCTATCCCATCATCAGCAGATAACCTCAACGATATATATATATATATATATATATATATATATATATATATATATATATATATATATATATATATATATATATATATATATATATATATATATATATATATATATATATATCCAGCTATGATTGGACGACCGACACAAATATAATGCATAATACTATAGGGAGGCAAATTCTGAGAGGCCTCCTTCAGATGAAGGAAGAGGCAGGTCTTTCAGAATTTGCCTCCATGCTAGGAAGCAATTTTTTGGTGTGCACATGTTAGGTAGATACTATCCTCACCGTCAACACCGCATCGAGATATGTGCAATCCAAATCAGTAGCGTGAAACAATGGGGAGAGAGTGTTCAGCAATGAGGAAAGTGCAGACAGCACGAATCTCAAAGCACATTTGAACGGTACAGATAACACATGCTGAGCATGGCCATGCTGCAACACATTATTGTCCATGCTATACCAACTCATAGGTGAATTATTAGTACTACTACTACTCCTGTAGTCCTCCACAAACACTACTCCTAGCTAGTTTATCATGGGAAAAGGGGACGGCAACCTTTGCGTGTCATTGCGGAACTGCATGGGCCCTCACCCCGGAGGGACCGAGATTTCTCCGATTCAAGCAGCGCTCTGGCCGGCCGCCGGCGCCGATCGACCACCGTACTACCAGGCCATTTGCTGGCTCGTGAGATTCAGAGAACTAACTAACATGGAAGCAAAAGGCTGCATGCATGCATACGTACTTAGGCACAGCAGTAGGCATGCATATATACATGACGCAGCTAGCTAGGTGGAACAACAAGCGGCGTGCGTGCGTGTCCCCGTTGCTCGGTCGCGAGCGATGGATCGGTGGCCGGATCTCGCGGATCCTACGACGCGGTGAATCCATGGAGGTAGGTCGCTCACATGGACCTCGTGCACGCAGGGCAGGATTCGGTCATCCAAAGGATCCGAGCCGACCCCGATCGGTGGCCGCGGCAGCAGAGTACGTCCAGAGCCGAAACGGGGCGCGGAAAGGAGCCGCGCGCGTTGCCCGAAACGTAGGGGGGCGAGGTCAGGACGAGATCGCGTCCAAATCAGCGGAGATCGCCTCGCCCGGCGGGTTGGGGTTGCCGGTTGGGTTGGGTCGCCTCTCGCCTCTGAGCCTCTCTCTGTGCTGTGTGTGATGAACTGATGGGCGAAAAGCTCGTGCGCTTTGTCCTGGCTCACCGAAACTGTTTCGGCCGGTCGCAGCGCGCACTCGCCGGATGTGGAAACCGGGCCACTGCTGCAGCGCATTATTGTGGGCCAGGGGGAACCGGCAAGCTAAGGTTAGGTGCCCCTTTGGTTTGGTTTGGCCTCTGCTTTGCTTTGCTGATGGGTGAACGGACGAACACGATGACCGGCCTTTGCGTTCGATCTCTTCGGTGTAACAGTACATTTGGCGATGACGAGATTATTGATTGATTTGTTTTTATTTATTTCTTTATTACGTGTGGAGTGAGTGGTTTCGGTTGCTTTTGTTCGTTGGATTCCTAATACCTAGTGAGCCCACATTCAAAGTAGTCCATTGATCACAAGACGTTTCGACTTTTTCTAGATTCATAACTTTTGTTATACACTTAGATATATACTATGTCTAGATATGTAATAAAATAAATGTATCTATGAAAGCCCGTATTATAATCAGAACGGAGAGAGAGTTGTTGTTGTGAAATCATTTCACCACAAAAAAAAGAAAGAAATAAAGAAACGCAATGAAATGGTAACGTCGTCGCTGTTGACGGGAACATCGGTCTGTCACTGAATAGAGAACACAAAAAGACACGAGTAATATACGTTGACTTGGGGGCGGTGTACTGGGCTATGGATGTGGCGCATGATCTGTGGCAGATGTCACAGGCAAAGACACCAGTGAAGCCGGCTGCTGCTAGGCATTGTTGGCAACCACCGCCGGCAGGTTGGCTTAAGTGTAATGTTGATGGCGCTTTTTATGCAGAAGATGGCCAAGGAGCAAACAGGATTTCTTCTCCGGAGCTCGGCTGGGAATTTCATAGAAGGATGAGCTCGATGGTACGTTCATGGTTTGGATGCAATGATGATGGAGCCCCTTGCTTGCAGAGATGGTTTGGCAGCTGCCAGGGATCCGGGAGTATCAAGATTGCCAACTGGTGCATCAATGGAAATATGGGGAGGGTGAGGGAGAAGAAGAGGTGGAGGAAAGAAGAAAAATGGAGAGAGAGGAAGGAGAAGAGACCAGGCCCCTTCAATCCTGTTCTGCATCCGCCACTGCTTGAAACCGATTGCCAGGAGCTGGCCAACCTGTGGGCGCAGGGGACTTCCAAAGATCCTATCTGGCGCCGATCTTCAGAGAGATTAGGGAGCTTAGCTTGTGTTTTTCTGATTTTAATTTGATGGTATGCCAATCGGTCTTGTAATCGTGCTGCCCATATGTTAGCTTAGCAGGTCACGGGTGATATCAGGTTGGGTGAGTGGCATGTAGCCCCAACTTGCATGGATCACCTGGTGACCGAAGATTCTAACCCTGCTCCTCATGAATGAACGAAAGTCTGAATCGAAAAAAAAAATCACTTGGCTAGTAGGCACCCATCCGTCAAGTGTTACTGACTGGTGGTGCATGTCCACCATGCAGACTGACAGTGTTTCCATCGGCAACTCGAGTCCAGCCATCTTGCATGCTTGTCGATCTGGGGTCTGTGGGGCACGGTGGCTCCCCCTGCAACCTCGGAGGTGACAGCCAAGCCAGTGCGCACGCGGGCTTTCGTGTCACCGTATGTGATGCGAGAGAACCGGCCGGGAGAAGAGTGCAGCGAGGATTACGGCGGGGGTGTTGCCGGCCGGGGCGACGGAGGGAGTCAAGATTCGAAGATCCACTGCCGCCCGCCGCTGGTTCTCGCTTCGCTTCTAGAAGATCTCCCCCACGCTCCTCGAGTCTCCCGGGTCTGCCTGCTCTGCTCTGCCATGCCACTGCCACCGCTCGGCCGCACCAGCCTCGCAATCCATCCACTGACTCTGATTGATCACACACACCACCACTCGCGCTCGCGTGCGCGCACTCCGACACTACTCCTATAAATACCACTGCTCGTGCGCTCCCCTGAGCCACAAGTAAAGAACTGTCTCCGCGCCTGCCTCGTGCTGATCCCTCCTCTTCTTCCTCCACTCTCTCTCTCGCTGCTCGATCGTGGCACCTTTCTCTGCCCACGCGCATGTGCTGTTCTTCACTGCTGGGTTTGTTGCTCGATCGCCCCGTACGTCTTTGAGTTAAGCTGTCGCGGGCCTCCGTTTCTTTACTTGTTCTCGTCTCTCCCCTGATGCATTTCCCGTTCTTGATCTCAACTCATAGAGGTGTCTGATCGATCTGTCCACACCAAGCATAGAACTGTTCCTGCTTGTGCCTGTTCTTCATTGATCGATTTCTGTGCGTGGTCACTCATCGCTCTCTTGAGTCCATGAAGCTGGGAGCTCCACACACACCATCCTGCATTTGTTCGTCGCATCCTTTTCTCGTTTCGTGACGGCCGGGCGCGCGGGCGGATCATCCAAGACCCACACACACCAAAGAACCCTCGCCTCCACCGGTCGATCGACCGGTGGTTAGATGCAACGAGAGATGGTGCATGAGCAGGGCGGCGGCAACAACCACCACCACCACCAGCTGCCGAGGTTCGGCAACGGCGCCGGCGCCGGCGCGGCCACCGGCGTGGCGCGGGCGTCGAAGAAGAGCAAGCTCAAGAAGATCCCGCAGCGCGGCCTCGGCGTGGCGCAGCTCGAGAAGCTCCGGATCGAGGAGCAGAAGAAGATGGAGGGAGCCGCCACCGCCATGTCGGTGCCGGGGGCCGCGCACCTCGGCGGCGCAGGAGGCGGGCTCGGCCACCTCCTCCCGATGCACCCTCCTCCGGCGCCGCCGCTCTCGCTCAGCGCCCTGCCGAGGCCCGGCGTGGACGGCGGCGGCGTGCACTGCGGCTACCCGCCGATGCTCTGGGACCCGTCGTCGGCGGACCCCATGAAGCATCCGTACAAGAGGCTGTGCCCGCAGCCTCCACTTCCAACGGTACGAGTGCCTCTTCTTCTCTTCTTCAGAGTTCAGACGGCCACGGCCATGCGTGCAGCGTGCATTCTGGCTACCTTCTGAGTTGACGAGGCATCAGTGGCATGGGCAGGTGAGCACGGGCTTGTCGCTGACGGCGTCGTCGAGCCACCCAACGGAGCCCCCTTCAAACCAAATGTACAGCAGCAGCAGCGTTAGCAGGAGCAGCGCGGCGCCGCCGGCGCCGGCCGACGAGGACAGGGTACACGCTGTCGTTGAGGTTTTCAGAACTATTATTGTTACTGTGTGCTCTGAAAATGTTCTTGCGCTTGGGATTGCTGCTAAGTGTGGATTGGCCAGAGTATAGGAGGCGGCCGGCGTGGATCCATCCTGGCCCTTCATGTTCGAGGGCTTGAACACGACCGCCTTCAGGACGACGATGGGCAAAGCGCCTTTCGCCGCCAGGACGACGAGAGAGGCCGCCGTCGGCTTGCCTGATATCTGTCCTGACCTGAGCAGATACGAGTTCAGAGCCACAAACTATTTCAGGTTAAATTTGTAGGCCTATTTCACATGTTTCAATGTTCATCAGTGCTTCATGGGACTGTCATAACCTGACTTTAGTTATATATATATAAAAAAAATCTCTGTTCTGCAGCTCGAATGCGAGTTATTCAGACTGGTCATCAGAGTTTGGCCACTGCAAGAGCAGCAAGGAGAACGAGGCTGCCTACCTTACCTTGAGCGCACAGCCCACGCCACGCATGAAGCAGCAGCCTCCTGCGCTCCCCTCGATCCACCACCTCCCGGAGTTCGGCGACTTCGGCGTCATGCAGTCACAGGCAAGTGGAGTTTGTCTTGCCATCTTCTGCCGAAATCTGTGGTTCCCTGTGTGTGTGACGTTCTCACGGACTAACCTACCTTTTCTAACAGCATGGGAGCGCTTCAGCGTCGTCGTCGTCGTCGCGGCCATTCTACAGCTTCATGCCAGTTGGCCCAGTTCGCTGCGAGAGACCGCTGAGCGAGATGAAGGCCGACGCCTCTGACGGCGTCGACCTGGAGCTGAAGCTGTGAAAGAGCTCATCACCGGAATCCTCCGTCCCTCTGTTCCTTCCTGATAAAACATGACACCAAATCTGCAGTTCGGAAACACGGAGCAGCACTCGTTGTCGCTGAGAAAAGATTGTGGTGCCGTGTTCGGTTTGTAACCTGAAACACGATTGTGTATCAGAATTTGCGTTCTTTTCAAGATTTTCAGTCCCAATAAACATCTGGTGAGGGCTACTGGCTACCGAGACACGCCCTGCAAGATTGCCGCGGGTTGAGTCTGTGCATGATCCAAGCACGAAGCATTTGCACATGGCTCCGATAGGATCGTGTGCACGAGAGACTCGCCAAAGAAAGCAGTGTTAGTGTTGAACTGGTTTTCAGTAAGGAAAGAAGAGCACGTGCACGATCGGCATTACTGGCTTGCAGCTGCATCCTGCAGGTAGACTGTGGGGTCTTTTTCTGTATAGATCTAGCAAGGCATCATGGTATTCCCAGATATGCACAGATAGTCAGATCGATGTAAGCCAAGATATATGCAAAGATGGTTGTAGTTGTAGATGTTCTGTTTTTTTTTTCTTTGGAACATTTGTGTTGTGGATGTAGTGCTACGTGCAATGGAATCACAATATTTCCCATTTTATTTGACGTTTTGACACTTCACATTAACTCTTTATCACTTATTATATCTCACTATTAAGGCCATACAATGGAATGTTAGCAGCACACTAGAGATGGAGCAACAATTGCTTCAACACCAACTCAATCAAGCAACGATAGGAACAATCCGGTACAATCCGAATAGAATGCGAGGGAGGAAGCACAGCAGAGGACTAGGAACAGAGAAGCAGAGCTAGAATCCTGGGTACAGAGAGAGGGAGGCTTGAGGGAAGATGAACAACAACTAGAGGTAGGAGGAAGATGAACAGTAAAGTAAGAGGGTTCTGAATAATTCTTCGATGTCCCTCCTGGTTCTCTCTGCCTCCTCTTGTACTGACTCTAGACATACAAGCAGGCCCAGTGTGGTCATGGCCCATGTCCCTCTATCAGTAGCAGGCGGCCTGTATAGCTGACATGGAATCTCCATGTTAGTCCTCGTGAAAATAAATGCTATAAAAATAAATATTCTTTAAATTATCACAATGGTAAAAGATATATAGCCATTGATTCGGTAGACTATAATCACCATTGATATATTGTTGACGAATATGTAGCACCAGAGCTATGTAAGCCCACCACTAAACACGTCCACGTCGATATTAACTCACATACTAATTCTTTAAGGCCTGAGACTCCCCTGTTGGATGCCGATTGAAGTCTTTGAGGATTGAGCTGCACTGAACCTAAGCTCCTAAAACAGTTACTATTAGATTCTACAACCAAAAGCAAACAATTTAGAACCAAAAGCTTACAACAACTGGTTATAAAGCAAAAGTATTTGGTTAAGATCCTCCCTTTCTGATCAATTGATGAAAGAGCACTATCAATATGGTCAGCCCAAACAGGTTTTTATGGTTCCCCGTGTTATCTCATTAAGCCTCACATGTATTGGGGTGGCGGCAAAGATGTGCCTGACTCTTTTTTGTTCCCCGTGTTGTCTCCTTAAGCCTCACATGTATTGGGGTGGTGGTAAAGATGTGCCTTATGTAAATGGAGCTGCCACAGGATATCCCTAGACCACGCAGAATGCATTCTATCATGAATCTCTCCCTCTCAAATTGAATCAAATGATAGGAAGCTTCTATCACCGTGGATATACTTCCAAGAAAAATTCTACATGATAGGCTCACCCAAACTGTTTGAATCATCCTCATAAAACAACTCAATTGCAACATATATGACCGTCATCTGAGAAGCTCTATATGAAATCCTCTACAAATATACATCTCCCATTCAGTAAACCAACAACATATTGCCAATGATCACCCCTAGGTGTCTCTATAGCAAAACTATTCCCCCTTTTTCAGATCAAATAGGAAGCACCTCAGCTGTCTTAGCATCTGATATCATGATGGTGTCATCAACAATGTCTACAAATCCTGAAATCTTGACCTTCTGTGACAAATTAAGACCTGACACATTGGAAATTATTTTCATTAAGAATATATATAGACATCCTAGAAAGTATCACAAAAAGACACAGTGTATTGACCAACTCGAAGAACTATTGGGGAAAAAAAAGCTTCAAACATTTGCTTTCATACAATTTGTAGCAGTTCTCTTTGACATCAACCACGTAATGATCGCAATGTGGAAGAGATGGGATAACATCAAGCTTTGATCTGCGATGCACAAAAAACCATGCTAGGGGATCCTTTAGTTCAGCACATCTCTCAAGTCTAACTGTATCTAGGGACAATAGTGCTTCCAGGGCCTTTTTCATTACATGCCAACTTTCCTCCAGAAGTAGAGACTTGATACACAAGAGTGCGCTGGTCAACCTGGCAGATAAAATAAAAATCTGATATGGTGGCCATGTGGCAATCTTGAAGACTCATCGCCCCTTATCTTGCTGAGGATTTCTACTCAAGAAGTCCCTACAGTTAGAAGTTGTAACTGTTCAGCACAAATTTCTGGTTTATGATGGCTTGCAACATGGACCAGTTAAGTGACGCGTACCATAATACCTTAGGTTTTGTGATACTAGGACTATAAAACATGGGGTTTTATGAAATTTGTTCTTTAAAATTAAGCAAATAATAGGGAGCTACTGCATTATGGAATGAAATAATAAGCAAACCTGCAGCAATCTGGCATCTCTGAGTACTTCTCAACTTGCCTCAAATATTCATTTTAAAGTTTTGTATTTTGAAATTCGTTTTATTTTTATTTTTTTCAAACATGGGTGGAGACACGCTCCATATGTAGCACTCGACGAGGCCTAAAACTTTCCAGTTAAAATTGTTTTCCCTTGAGATTATTTAGGAGCCCAAATATTCCATAAAAAATTATATGGCTAAAAAGCCAATGACACATGGGATCTACATGTCATGTATGTGCCACATATACATGCGAAACTTGTTCATGTAGTGCTATTTGGTGCCATATTAATCAAATTGGATGCTTGGCTGCCCTGAACACTTGTTGTTCGCCTACCGCACAAAATAAGATGAAAGAAAAAACCCTTGCTTAGCTAGAAATTAGAAAAATTGTCATTGTCTCCCATAAAAAATGTCATCGTCTGATGGTGATCCTAATGACCAAACATAAACCAAACCAGCAGCATTTCGGCGTAGACATAAAATTGATAGTGTTTTCGGTTTAACAAAAACACTAGGTACATACGTGATTCGATTCATAGGCCTAGCATACAAATTGAGATGTGATTGGAAAAAAAGGAGTACAAGAGGCAATTACTTGAAGCAAAGCACATCAGCTCATAGAAAATCCTTATACCAGAACTACTATTCAAGTCTAATATTCATTTCAAAATATGATACACCACAAAATTCATCATTTTGTTCAACTGTGCCATGTCAGGTAGAACAAGAAGTTAGAATTCCGTAACTTATAACCAAAAACATATCATAACCATCTACAGAGCAAACTACATAGTTAGTAAGGATCCTCCCGTTTTGATCAATTGATGAACAAACGATACCAACACGGTCAATGCTGACAGGTTCCTTTGTCTCCCGTAGTGTCTTCTTAAGCTTCACATGTACTGTGGTAGCAGCAAAGTAGTGATGAGATGTAAAAGGAGCTGCCATAGGACATCCCTGGACCACATAGAATACAATGCTACTATCAATTTCTCCTTTGCAAACTGAATCAAAGGAAAGAAGCCTCCTATCACGCTAGATATACTTCTAAGAAGAATTCAACATTATAGGTTCACCTAGGCAATATGAATGTGGCAGAACCGCCTAATCTAATGCCTCCCAGGAGTACTTGTTTTCCATTAGACACTAAGTACTCAAGGAAGGACACTAAATTACGTAGTTCCGTCTAGCACACCCCAAGGGAAAATCCGAAAATCCACATTTTTCCATCAGAATCACAAATGAGAGAATAAAGCTTTACAACATTCTTAAGTCATTTCTTACGTCACTTTCCATGCAATATCAGAATATAATATTTATTGTTTATAACAGCGGAATATAACCATGTTATCAGAGTGTCAGCGGAAATAAAATCATTTAACCACAAGTTAAACATTAACATGATGATCCGTTATATACATCGTAACAGGTTATAAGTTTTCCATTATAAAATATTTTGGGTGGAAGTTTCAAATAAACTCTATGTCCGCAACGTTAAGGAAATCCTCGCTGAGCCCACCAGGAGGTTTCTACACACAAGTGTCAGCTCCACATGTTTCTATCACCTGCAACAGGGTAGAACAAACCCTGAGTACTCAATTATACTCCGCAGGACTTACCCGTTAGGAGGAAAGAAAAGACTCCAAGGATATGCAAGGCTATCTGGCTTATGGGTTTATTGCATCTGTAGGAAGCATTACTAAACGTGCGTCCTTATATTCAATTTCATTAGCTGTCATCATTAGTTCATTAACTAACCATTCTATGTAAGCATCTATGCTACTTTCAAGCAGGTGGTAAGCAATCAGAACTATTTTACCATCTTCCATATTCTAGTTCTTACTACGGTGCTAGATTGTAGACAAGTCATACCGGATTACCCGACGATTCGTGAATCAATGTGTCCAGCTGGGTACCCCGAAACACACGCCCCGCTTGTACCCCAGGCACAAGCAGGACCAACCCACCACTCTCCTGTCAAGGGGTACAAGTCCCCGTCCAAACTTGAACTCCAAGCCTCCACACCTGAGTCTCGGACTCCGCGTGGTGCTTAGACCTCCACCATGCCCGCCTCCAATCAGTCGGTCCGGAAAAAGCCAGAACCCACGACAAGAGAGCAACGAGCCTTCCCTATTTCCATAAATAAGTATGTGTTCAGGATAATAAGTCTGTGACCTGACTAGAATCCAATGCAACGGACGGTCCTTAACCGACTCAGGCGGAACAAGCGCAATCCGAGCCTCGCTCGAATGCCAAACCAAGTCC